GAGTGTTGGTGGCGGCAGCGCCTCCCGTGGTAACATGAGTGTTCCCCGAGATGCCAGGCAGCAGCACTATCTTGCTGGAGAGCAAGCCTCCACCGCCTACGGCGGCACCGAGAGAGCCCGTCTGCTGGAATTTCGCCGGGGTTTTGGTCTGCCGGCCACGCTGGGTGGTCGTGATATCCATGTCGGTGTCCATGATGTCGTGTTTTCCGCGGTTTGTGCTGTGTCGTGTGTGTTCTCTCGAAGTGAGCGCTACAACTCACGGACGGCGTCATTTTTTTTTACACAAGTTGCACAAGTTCACGTCACACGTTTAAAATGACTGCACACAGGTTCCAAGTTTTTGAAAGACAAATGTCGAAAATTTTGACAAAAAAGTCGGTCCGTTTAAAACGGCCGTTAGCTATGAAGCTTTCACTCACTCACTCGCTCACTTACCAGTACGCGAGATGTGTTTTGGATCGATAGTCTATGTTGGAACTGTTTAAGTGAAAGCACGATCCGGCAGCTGGGCAGCTTTGGTTGCTGGTGTTGACAAAGGTTCATTTACTGGCGAAACCCACCTTACGCAAGCACATACATACACTCATGCGTCTAGAAGACCCCTACATCATCAGCAGATCCCATTGCGCTCCGTGACTGACCACACAAACAGCTGACATGCTCCTACACGTGCTCTTTTGAACGGATATGTATCACGGACATCCCCCACCGGCGATTGGTTGTATTTGCGTGGTCTGCGATCCTTCACCGCGGTTGCGACGCTTTTAATGTCAGGTGGCTTGCATTTTTAATTTTGTTCATCGTCTGTCTCGATAAGATCACCCGAAGGAAAACCAAGGATAGGAGCTTTGCGTGCAAGCAACAGTAAGCTCGCCAAGCATCCGTTGTTGTGGCTGACAGAGAAATCGCACGACATGGTTGTGCGGTGCTGCTTCAGCATTACCCGCTCATCCTGCTCCCTCTCCTGAGATGTAAGCCTGGCTTGGGCGACGTCGGCTCCTTTCACCCCAGTGTACGAAACAAATGGCTTGTGTGACGCCTGCCCCTTTCACTTGTGCGAAACAAATAAGTTTATGCGTTGAGGAAGAAGAAGAAAGTCCGTCGAACTTCCATATTGTTGAAGAAGACTCGAGACGACAGCACCGTGGGAAATGTATGCGGTGTGTTGCGTGACTCTGCGGTAGATCGTGCCCTTGTGGGTGTGGCTTGCATATACGGAATAATCAAGTTGTTCTACATATTGAATAAAGCGACTGCCCGATATATGGCGGCCATTCTCTGCCCCACCGCCGCCATATTCGGAGACCCCCACTGCACGTATTTGTGGACCTCCTTGTGGAGTGCCATCAGCTGCAGCCCGTTCTAACCTTAGCTCAGCCGTGCGGGTTGCAAGCGTGTCGTTCTCGTTGTCTCTCGCCGTACGTCTTCCATCGTCGGCATGTCGTTCGAGCAGTTCGTAGTTTGTTGTTGTTGTTGTTGTTTCTCTCATTAGCACTAAAAAAGAAAGATTGGGAGCCCGTGGTCTCAAAACCCGGCATACACGACCCCACGAAGAAACAGAAAAAAATAGGGTACAAAAACCACTCGGAAGAGAAACAAAATGATAGAAAGAAAGACCAGCTACCGCACCAAACGAGAAAGAGCGTCGAGGAGACCGATCAAAATAAAATAAAAGGAGAACGGGGAACGCTTCCCACACCCGCCTACAACGCCGGAGGGTTCCGTGCCGGGTTCCCGCCGACCAGGCATCCCCCGCCCTGCACCACACCCCAGGGGGTGCAGCAAGACGGGGGGCGAAAAACAAACACATATATATTCCCAAAAAAAAAATAAAAAATCGAAGGACAACGTACACCAGTACCAGGTACTACAGCAGTGCAGTATGCACCAGCGCATTAGTGTAGGGTAGGCACCGCACCAAAGAGGCAGCAGAGGTGGCAGGCAGCCAGCAAAGGAAAAAACAAAAATAACAAGGAGCTCGAGGTATCGTCCAAGATCATCGTAGAGAGGGCATGGAGAACAAGAAAGAAAGAAAGAAGAAAAGCACAAAGAGAGGCCGGAGGCAATACTAAGAGCATACAGCTTACGGCAGGGAAAAGGGAACACAGGGTGCGACAACATCATCAGTAGTGACGTCGGACGGATCGGTTTGGCCTCGATTGGTGGTCCTCGTGTTTGTGTATTGTTCCCGTTTCTTCGAAGTCTCAATAGAAAAATAAGACGACAAGGACATGATAGGCGCCGTTTGCCCGGATAGGTCTCGGACTTGCGTTGTTGCCATGATGTCGTGAGTACACCCGTCGCCTATGTGATGAGTTTTCTGCTCGTTTCCCCAGATGAATGGCAACTTGTGCTCTGTTCTTGTGAAGGTGATTGAGTTGTGTCTTCTGTAGGCGCTTCTGTCAGCCGAATAGCACGCCTCATCCACCACCACGGTGCAGCTTTTGGCTAGCCTCCAATCACGTTCCTCCCATTTGGTTGTCATTTCTTTCTGTTTTGCTCTCTTGTTCTCGGTTTTGTATTGTCCCTCCTGGGCTTTGTTGCCTCTGTTAACCACACTTTTATACCCAGCCCCGCGACTCGCGCAAGGGACAACAAGTTTTGCACAGACTGTGGCAAACCATACCATGCTTGCAATTTGTGTTTCCTCGCCTACATACCCGTGAACGCACAAAGTTCGGGTCGTTAAAATCAACTCGATGAAATACCGTGAGCCCCCACGAGATTTCTGAACCTACTCAACGTGTCCTGGACGACCGTGACATCGTCCGCTTCTTCGACGACCCTGGGCGGATGTTCGTCGTTCTCTCTCTGTGTACGGATCATGACATGTTCAATATCACGAGGGTGGCGCTCTTCTGAGTTTCATTCTTCCAAATATCACCAAATAATGCCTAAGTGTTCGGGGGGTGACAAGACGTTTACACCCTAGAAGTAGCAGCCGATATAGACTAGTCTATATCCGTAGGCAGATAATATGTAACACGTGCTCCCATTTGTTGGGGCATCAGTCGTGTTGACGTGCACGGGGCCCGGGCAGGCGTAAGCTAGAGAGCCCAGGCGCAAGGGGCTCCGCAACTCTCTCTATTCATCGGATGACACTACCAAACCCTAGGCTCGGTGTGCGATACCGACCGCCGTGTACACCAAACGACCACCTAGTCGATGCGCGGTACGATCGTGGAGACTCTTCAAACCTTACCTGGATAAAAATGAAACCCCAAATCCAACATTGACTATCTCCCACACTCATAGATCCTCCTACTCTTCCATATCTACCTCCGAAATCTCCCAATTGCTACCCATATTTACGAGATCTCCGAATTTTTCCAAGTTTCGGTGATCTACAAACATATCCAGCATATCATATATGTATCCAGAAAATGTTCTCCAAGAAAAACATCTCCAACACGAGAATTCAATACCATCTCCAGAGAAAACACACGAGCAAAGTACTACAAGATGGATGATGGAAAACCAACAGAGGAGGAAAAAACAATGTTGGGAAAACCTCAAAAATACAATACGATACATTCGACTGCATCTCCCTCATGTTTCTGGTAGCAGCCCCCCTGTTCGAAAAACTCTCTATACTTCCATCATAATTCGCAGGTAACGCGGATACCAGAAAGATGCCAAAACAAATACTACTTCTATAATCCGTGCTGCTACATTCACCTGTTGAATCATCAAGTCATCATCAACCCACCCCCAGGATTTTACATTTGGCATCCAAATGCTACGAAAAAGTAACTAAACCCAACCAATGTCAACCACAGAGAAAACACAATCAATCCAACGATTCTCAATCACAAACCTCCGGTCGGCGCGCTTTAAACGCTCCTTGGTGCCGCGGGTTCGTGGGGAATTCCGCATGCTACTCTATGGACGGTACAACAAAAAAAACTTGAATTCTCCGTTTCGCCACACGCTCAGACTAAAATGGTGACGAACGTCGATTTGCCTACAGTTAGGCGAAGTTTCGGGGTTCTTCGCTAGGTGAATCAACACCCAAGTTATCCTTCTGGACTGAAGTTGGGCCAGTTTGGCGATCTGGAAAGATAAAAATCCAGAGATACCGCAAAATTTTGTCTCCGTTATTCCCGCAGCCATGGCAACAGACTCCGCCCCAGCAGAAGAAAGGATGACACTTTTCTTCTGCGTCCGAGAAAAATGGCACACGCGCCTAAATAACACACATACATCACGACACCTCACCTCTAGACACAGGCCGCCGGTTGGTGCCTCTGCTCGCACAACTTCAAGTCGATATCACTGCCCATACCTCGCTGATATGTAAGAATACCAAAACCACTTGTGGGTTTACATATTAAGGACGTGCAACGCCGGTCTGCCAGTGCACGAGTCTGATGGGTGGGAATTGGGAATACCTTGCGACAACTCGAACCTCATTCAGGATAATATCAGGGCGACTACAGATGACGGACTATTGCAGTAATCGAAACGGCTCCTCAATCAACCTCTGTTTCCTCCTCATCGAAGTCGTCGAGCCTCAACCCGACAACCACAAGGACGGGGTGATCGTGCTGAATACCAGTCATATCAAGCTTGGCTACGATCTTCTCAGCGGACGCCTGAAGAAAAATCTTTGACGGTACCTAAGACCTTGTCCCGCTCGAACCGGCAACCGGCATACCGCCGAAGCTTCCCCAAGGTTGGCGATCGGGACACACCTCGTTCAAGTCGGCGCCACACTGATCAAACCTACCCTTACATCCAATGGCAAAGATGGTGTCCACAGGCATGACCACGACAACATAAACGGCACCACGTTCCACCAAACGCATGACACCTGTATCAGCCTCGCATTGCTCAACCAAAATCCATCATCCTTCTGACCAAGTGATGAGGCACGTTCGCGAAAGTACACTAAACAGGCGATACACAGTTTGAAGCCACCCTTAGTCTACACCGCTGGAGCAGATCGCCTCAGTTGTTCAGTTGATATCATTGAAGCCTTCTGACGTTTTCGGACGTGAGTACAAGCACTGGTGAGGTCACACAAGCTGGGGTTATGATCATGCCCAAGTAAAGGTGGACAGCCTGATATCGAATGTTTCAGGGCGTTTTCGGTCAACGAGGAAAGAAAGAAGAACTGCGTCATCCTCGCCATATTGAAGAAGGAAAGCACCGCCGCAGAAGGAAGGGTTGAGAAAATTATGCTGCGCCGCCTTCGATCTTGTGTGACCCCGGCTGGTGTGTCCAAACGACGTACACACGAAAATTTGTAAATAATCGACGTATGTAGAAACGAGGATATAGGTATCTTCCCAGTAGTAGGGACGCACATACAACCGTATAGACCCATGACCCGTGGAACATCGTTCTCGAGGCCTGAGGATCTTTACAACGAAAATACCCTCAGTCTGCTGTGACCAGCCGGAGGGTGGAAGCGAGTCCTGAAGCTCACCCTCACCTTTCAACCTAGCAAGGCCGACTAACGTCAGCCACACTTGGCCATTCCTTGTCACATTGCAGTAAGAGCGAAATTCCCTCCGTTGGTGAACGGTTATTATTCACCACTTCAGGGACCTTTACTCACAACGGAGTAAGGGTATTCTCACGTAGTCCAGATTCAATGGGGAAGGCACGTACACATGTGCAAGGCTGACCAATTCGTAACGGCCAACGGTAAAGCGCGCGATCAACCCATGCTAACTGGAGAAACACCCGCCCACCCACCCAACACGATTGGCAACACTGGGAGGTAACTAACTCACGCCACGGTAGGCACCCACTGGACAGGGACACTAATGGGCTCACCGTTGGCCAATAATTAATCGCCCACACCTCCTCCCCTTGCACAGGATCGACATTTTCGGACGAATGCTCTGACTCTGAAATTCATTCAGGGACTTTTGTACGCCGAGTGTGATGCTGGTCCGGGGCCCAAGACGGGGCTACCTGCCGAATCGCGTATTCGCGCCTGGTGAGTTTGACGGTACACAAAATGCGATTCCCAGGGAAATCCACTTCAAATACAATGTCCTTTGTCCCCCCATACGCGCACCGTCTTCCCAGGTTCAGCTGCAAAATCCCATTTTTCGCACCATCAGCTTCCCCGCGATATTGTTGTTGTTGTTGTTGTTGTTGTTGACTTCACATTAAACCGTATGCCAGTTGCTAAATGCCAAAATCTAGCAAATACTCTCAGCCCGTGGTCACGAAAGTGCTAGAGCCATCTGAGGATCTAAAGAACACGCACACGTAGCAAGAAAAAGGTATCCAAGAGCCCGAAGAGGTACTACTACACCTATATATAATCCCTGCAGCACCGTGCGCGTGCCCAACACTGAACTACACGTCCGTCTCACCGTTCGACTACAGCAACATCACCCCCTACCTGTCCCACTCTGTACCAAAACGAATGATTGCCGACTACAGCATACTTGCTGTCTGAAGTGCTGTCTGTACAAAAACACCATGGTAGGCATGGAACAAGAAGCTGGCGGGGCACAAAGCTGCTGTCTGAAGTGCTGTCA